AAAAAAAAAAAAAAAGCAGAGTACATGATGTGGTTCAGAACTTGGCAAAAACAGCCTGTGGTCTAGACCCATTCCACCACTTCTCTATAAAATTCATGAGCTGCACATGAGTTGTATATTTTTCAGTGGTAGAAAAAAATAAAAGAACAGTGTTTTATGACATGTGAAAGTTAAATTCAAATTTTGGTGTCCATAAATAGTTTCATTGTGCTACAACATACTGGTTCATTATATATTGTCTACAATTGCTTTTGTGCCATGATGGCATAAAACTCAGTCCCTGAGTTACAAACATCCAACTTACGTGCAACTCACACTCATGAACAAAGGCTACTATAGGTAAATGGACCTGTTCTAACTTATATACAAATTCAACTTAAGAACAAGCCTATGGAACCTATCTGGTTCATTACCCAGAGACTGCCTATAGTTGTAGAAGAGGCTGGATGGTCCACAAAACCTCAACTATTTACTATCTGGACCTTACAGAGTAACTTTTCTTACCCCTGATATACAGCTAAGAGGGTGGAGTATGGAGTCAGACTGTCAAACTCAAATCCTGGCCCTGCAGTTGACTGCATGATTTGGGGCAAGTTACAGCTTGGCATTTCCTTATCTGTAAAATGGGAGTACTAATAGTTCTCACTACTAGGGTTGTTGTGAGGATTGAGTAAGTTAATATTTAAGAATATGGAATTGGCCGGGTGCAGGGGCTCATGCCTGTAATCTTAGCACTCTGGGAGGCCGGGGTGGGTAGATCACTTGAGCTCATGAGTTCAAGACCAGCCTGAGCAAGAGCAAGACCCCATCTTAAAAAAAGAAATTAGAAAAAGAAAAAAAAGAATATGGAATTGTTTCTGGAGTGTTATAAGTGCTGTCAGCTATTATTGTTATTGCTATTATTTACAGTAAAAGACATTTGCAAGCAAAGGTCATTGATTCTATTCATAAAGAGCTGTCTGTATTTAAAAAAAAAACTTAGAAGGACACATGCATATTGTTAATATTGGGCCCCCCTATAACATGGGATTGGAGAGGTGGAGAGGGACATTTCTTTCCTTTTTCTTTTTTTTTTAGATACAGTCTCACTCTGTCACCCTGGGTAGAGTACCTTGGCATCATCATAGCTTACAGCAACCTCAAACTCCTGGGCTCAAGTGATCCTCTTGCCTCAGTCTCCAGAGTAGTTGGGACTATAAGCACCCACCACTATGCCTGGCTAGTTTTTCTATTTTTACGAGAGATGGGGTCTTGCTCAGAGTGGTCTTGAACTCCTGAGTTCAACAGATAAAACTCTATTTAATTCCTAATGTGCATTAAAAAAAATCAAAACAAAAAAGTTGCTAAGTAAAAGAAAATATTTGAACTTATTTTCTTCTCTTTAGGAGTCACTAAATTCTAGTTTTCTTAACAATGACAACAAAATTGGAACAAATGCTAGAAAAATTGTGCATCTTTTTCTCTTGTGTCAGCAGAGCTATAAAAGTATTATGAAGGATTTTTTTGGTTAGTTTGTTTTTGTGGGGGGGGGTTGAGACAGAATCTCAAGCTATCACCCTGGATAGAGGGCCATGGTGTCAGAGCTCACAACAACCTCAAACTCCTGGGCGATTCTCTTGCTTCAGCCTCCCAAGTAGCTGGGACTACAGGCGCCTGCCACAACACCCAGCCATTTTTTTTTTGTTGTTGTTATAAGAGACAGAGTCTTACTTTGTTGCCCTTGGTAGAGTGCTGGGACTACAGGCGCCCACCACAATGCCTGGCTTTTTTTGTTGTTGTTGTTGCAGTTTGGCCATGGCCGGGTTTGAACACGCCACCCTCGGTATATGGGGCCGGTACCCTACTTACTGAGCCACAGGCACTGCCCACCCAGCTATTTTTTTGGTTGTAGTTGTCATTGTTGTTTGGCAGGCCTGAGCTGGATTTGAACCGGCCAGCTCTGGTGTATGTTACTGGCGCCCTAGCCTTTGAGCTACAGGTGCCGAGCTGATTACAATTTTTTTTTTTTTTTAGAGCTAGAGTCTCACTTTGTTGCCCTTGGTAGAGTGCTGTGGCATCACAGCTCACAGCAACCTCTAGCTCTTGGACTTAGGTGATTCTCTTGCCTCAGCCTCCCAAGTAGCTGGGACTACAGGACCACATCACCCAGCTATTTTTTTGTTGTTGTAGTTTGGCTGGGGCCAGGTTCAAACCTGCCACCCTCAGTATATGGTGCAGGCGCCCTACTCACTGAGCCACAGGCGCCGCCCCCTGATTATAATGTTTTTTTTAAAGATATCATAATTTGTTTCATTTGGGAAAGAATATCTGAAAAATATTTGAAATATTTCAATATTTGAAAAAAATGTATATGATTTATCAACCAAGGAGCACATAGTTAGGATTGGAATCTCTGAAAACCTGTCTTTTATGATGGGGTTGGAATAGAGAGATAGAAGCCTTCCTGTGTGTATAGAAGCATGTCATAGCTAAGCAGAGGTACCTTTAAATACAATGTGAAACATTTGAAATGAAATGGTTGTGTTTCTGGATATTTGAGATTTGTCATGTTGACATTTCAAGGTTCTTTTCCAAGTTTATTTCCCCATTCTTGTGCTTTTCCAGGCCACTCATGTGTCCCCATGCTGAACAGTGCTCTAGCACCTGTTGCTCAGAGAACAATTTAACCCTCATTATTTCTTGCTTTGAATTGGTGTCAAGTATTTTTCTTGTGTGTACCTACTTTTCACCCCCTACAAAACTGCTAGTTCTCCAAAGGAAGGGGCAGACTCCATGTGTTTCTTTTTTCTCTGGAGTGTGTGAAAGAACATGGCTGGCTGTCAATTAGCTGCCTAAATCTCGAAATCCCTGAATATACAGTCTGTAACCCAGAATGAAGACAAGGTAACCTTAGACCACTGTAGGTAACTATTAGTCCACTATAGCTGCGTTAACAAAACATCCATAGACCAGGCATCTTAAACAGAAATTTCTTTTCTCAAGGTTCTAGAGGCTAGAAGTCTAAAATCAAGGTGTCTACAAGGCATAGTTTCTCTAGGCCTCTCTCCTGGCTTGTAGATGGGCCTTTTCCCTGTGTGTGTACATCCAATAATCTCTTACACATATAAGAATGCCAGTCAGATTGGATTAGGTCCCATCCTATGACCTCACTTAACTTTAATTACCTCTTTAAAGGCCCCATCTCTAAATATGATCACATTCAAGTGCTGGGGGTCTGGACCCCAACATAGGAATTTGGAGGGGGCACAGATCATTTTGTAATAATTCCTATCCATGTGGGGCATGAGCACTGGTTAGGAGGAGCATGGTTATATCATTTCAGGGCCTGGTGACATTTGGGGATGTGGCTGTAGATTTCTCCCAGGAGGAATGGGCATGGCTGAGCACCACACAAAGGACCCTATACAGGAAGGTGACACTGGAGAACTACAGAAACCTGGCATCACTGGGTAATGCCATCCCTGCCTCTCCTCCCACCCCTTCCCTAACCACTGCTGTGATTGAGATGTTCTATCCTTTGTTACCACTGCCCTCTTCCCTCAAGCCCTGGGGATTGTGTCTGGAGTTTGGACAGCCCCTCAGCATTACCCTGTCCTGTTTCCTCCTGTGTGTCTAGGACTTTGTGTTTCTAAGCCTGCTGTGATCTCCTTATTGGAACAAGGGAAAGAGCCCTGGATAGTGAAGAGAAAGATGACAAGAGGTGGGTGCCCAGGTGAGTGTGAGAGAACCAGATGGGCAGCTCCTCAGTCACCATTCTCAGTGGACTCTTCTCAGGCTTCGTGGTGCAGGGAAAATCAAGGTCACTTAAGGATGGGCTCCCCATGTTCCTCTTCTCCACAGCTTTGCTCTCTCTAAAGATGACTTATTTTCCTCAACCCTGGACCTCGTTTTTTTTATTTTTTTATGTTTTTTTTTTGAGACAGAGTCTCACTTTATCACTCTCGGTAGAGTGCCATGGCGTCACACAGCTCACAGCACCCTCCAACTCCTGGGATTAGGTGATTCTCACGCCTCAGCCTCCCAAGCAGCTGGGACCGTGCTATTTAGTAGGCGGGCTACTTTTCTTTTTTTTCTTTTTTTTTTTTTTTGCAGTTTTTGGTTGGGGCTGGGTTTAAACCCGCAACCTTCAGCATATGAGGCTAGCACCCTACTCCTTTGAGCCACAGGCACCTCCCAACCAGGCTAATTTTTGTTGCAGTTTGACTGAGGTCAGGTTTGAACCCACCACCCTTGGTATATGGGGCTTGTGCCCTATTCACTGAGCCACAAGCGCCACCCCTTGGACCTCTTTTTTCCATAACTCTCTTCCTGTTTGTCTTTTAGATTTTACAGAATCATTTTAGTTCTTTAAATAAATCTTTTGCTGATTCTGATGTACTTTTTACTATCTCATTTTTCTTTGATTAAGTAACTGTCTCACAGAGTCATTCTTTTAACTGATGTGGACCAAATTTTGGCTTTGAGTAAGGCCACCAGGTGCTGGCTGGTGAGGTGAGCATCAGCCACTGAAGAACAAACACCCTCATGGGGCACTGAGACAAGATGTACACGCAGCTTAAAGGAAGTAGAATGTTCTATGTATGACAAGTGTCAACAGGGACCTGAGAGGAAGAAGAAAAATCATGCCAGTTTTAAGCCAGGGAAACAAGGAATGAGATGAGAGCCTTGAACAGAAACATCAGAAGGAAGAGACTGTAAGGTTAGGAGATGAGTTTGGGTCAGGCCATTATAGATTTGGGTCAGGTAGCTGTTTCAGGGTGGACAGGCAGCTTGCAGTTGGCTTACTGACCCTCAGAAGAGAAGAACACACATTCTGATTTGAGGGGATTTGATGGAATATGCTTGCAGATATTACAATGATATTTTTATACTGTCTGGGAATACAGAGATTCCAACTATAGCATTATTTCTGGAACAGCAAATTATTAAGTAAGGACAAGGAATCAGAACTATAGATTTCTTTCAGAGGTTTTATTATGATAGGAAATGGCAAAAATTTCTAAAGAATTGAGAATCTTATAAAATTTATTTGTTCAAATTGTATTTTACTAGAAAACTTTGTATTGACAGAATTAGACAGGTTGTTCACAATTATAAATTCCAGTGAGTCCCCTGCATTGTAGTATCACACAGGATAACAAGAATGGTGTCCTATGAATGTTTTCAACTTAACATCATAGTAAATTACATTCTTTGAACTAGTTTTATGAGCCAGAACTGTTTTTCCTTCCCACAGATCATTCAGCTCTTGTTAAGACTCTGTTAATTATGAAGGTTTGCATTTTTAAAGCCAGGATCTGGACTTTTATTAGTTAGCATTGTGATAAAAAAGGAGGCATGTAAAAAGAGAGATGAAATTTTTGTTAGATAGGTAAAATGGACAAAGAATCAAGGGAGTTTAGTTAATAAAGCTGAAATAAAGATCAGACAGCAGTTTTCTTCCATAGCCACCACTTCCTCTTTGTTTATATTAACAACATCTTATCTCAGATTCAAGCTTTTGTGAGCTCCTTTTCCTCTTGATTTTTAATTTCTTCTTCCAGTCTTCAGCTAGAAGCATTATATATACTACTTGTTTGAGATTTAGGTGGGAAAGTTCTTACTATATCTTTTAGGACTGTATCTGCACAAATTTAAGAAGGTGAGGGTGGCTGAATATTCCTAGTCATGTAAAAAAAATTTCAAACTGACATGCGTTTTTGAGGGTTTTGTTTCATTTGAATACATTTTGGCATTTTCCTTCATATTAGCACATAATAAAAAAGAGACTTTCTCTCTTAATATCTTTCAGATTTGAATGCTGTGCGGGAGACCAAGGAGTCACCTCTAAAGAAGGACTCCTATGAAGAAAAGTTATCCCAGACCATGCTAACAGACAGTCTCACAAACTGTAGCCTGGAGTACTCTGTGCTGGAGGACAACTGGGATTATGGAGCTCTGTTTGAGACACAGCTGGTAAGTCAGGAGATAAACATTAGGTGAGAGAAAATATCTCTCATAAAGAACACTCCTTCCTATAATCCCAGCACTATGGGAGACCAAGGCAGGTGGATCGCCTGATCTTACAAGTTTGAGACCAGCCTAAGCTAGAGCAAGACCCCATTTCTAAAAATAGCTGGGCATTGTGGTAGCCGACTGTAGTCCCAACTACTCCAGAGACTGAGGCAAGCGAATTGCTTGAGCCCAAGAGTCTGAGGTTGCTATGAGCTATGATGCCATAACACTCTACCAAGGGTGACAAAGTGAGACTCTGTCTCAAAAAAAAAAAAAAGAAACCTCCTTGAGGAAAGCGACACCACAGTAACTATGGGAGAAGTTTTCACTTGAATAGTGTACTTATTACAGACGGAACAAAAGTAGTTATCTTCATACACATGAGAAAAGTAGGGAACATGGAGATTGAGTTGTAATGAATTACAGAAAAATCTGTTTAGGTCAGAAATGTTTATTTTACAATGAATTTGATAAAACCTGGAATGGGATGTCAACTCTTCCTTTTCATCAAAAATTTCACAAAGAGTAAAAACTCCATGGACCCATTGAAAACTGCATAACAAATGTGGGAAAGCCTTCAATCATCCTTAAAAAATTTATACTGTGGCTCAAGTGGCTAAGGTGCCAGCCACATACACCTAAGATGGCAGGTTCAAATCCAGCC